ACACTGAGGGACAGAGAACTGTTTTGATCTTGGCCTGGTGGTAGTTACACAGGTACACCACAAGGCCTCAAACTCATTAAGTAACCACCACACACTTAGTGGACGCTGCAGTCAAGTTCAGGGGACGAAGGACTTCATCACACACTGAGATGTTGAATCTAAAGCAACAACTAGCAAAATTACAAAGAAAACCACTCACTTAGAAAATGACCTTACAGCCAGGCAGTGGTGGGGCACACCTTTAATCCCAGCAGAGCAAGGCAGGTCTCTGAGTTCAAGACCAGCCTGATCTACAGAGTGAGTTCCAGGACAGCCTGGGCTGTTACACAGAGAAACTGTCTCAAAAAACCAAAAAAAAGAAAGAAAAAGAAGGAAGGAAGGAAGGAGAAAATTACCTTACGTAGAGATAGGACAGTCACTACCTTAAACAAGCAACCAAACATATCCCCAACAATAAAAAGACTGTGCCAGTGACTCCAGATACAAGTCACTGAGAACACAGTGCTGCTTGGATGATAGACTCACAAGAAATATTTAACTTCATCTAAACATGTGAGAACAAATCTGAAAACTCAAGATAGGAACCATCTATAAACAATAGCCTCAGGAGCCTGTGAGACGCCTCCAGGCCTGACAAGCCAGTTAGGTCCCTAAGTCCTGCTGTATGAGTCCTACAGTTCGAGGGCTAGAGCCCAGAGCCGGCATGTTCTGGGTAAATGCTATATCACTTACCTAACAGTCTTCCTAGGTAGCTCAGACTTAAAAGTTTTTAAAGTTATGGGGTTGTTACATTTATTTATGTATGCGTGGGTGCATGGGGGGGTAGGAGTCAGACAACAGTTTGCAGGAATTGGTTCTCTCCTTCCATCACGTGGGTTCCAGGAACTGAACCCAGATCCTCGGTCTTGGTAGCAAGCATCAGGCTGGTGTAGAACTCAATATCCTCCTGCCTCAGAATATGAAGCAAAAAATGGAATTCCAACAACTCTCTGAATTATAAAATTATACTTTGCCATCATGAAAGAACCAGTAGAATCTGCTAGCATAAACAGTGGCATTTGTCACGGGCATTTGTGGCATCTTTTCAATTATCAAGAGAAATTACTTCAAAACAAAGAAAAGAACTTCACTAGAGTAGTGGTCAACATACAAAAATCATACAGCAAATGCTGTAATGAAAGACCTCCACCCATCTAAGAGTGCAAGTCCAGAATGTATTAAACGGAACACTTCTGTCAGGTAAACTGAGCATTTTACATAAATTAACCCACTTAATCTTCAGAGCAACCCTATGAGATAGCATTAGTCTTTTCCTACTTTATAGAGTCAGATAGAGGATAAAGTTAAGCAACCTAGCCAGATCTCACAGCTAGTATCTACCAGCTAGAATACCAGGCCAGAGAGGTGAGCTTTAGCACCTTACCCTGCCTCAAAGGCAAAGAGGGTTCTTCACTCATCACTAGAAACCCAGAGATGATACCACGAGTCCAACTCCCGAACTTTCTGAGACACAAAACACTGGTCCAGCCCCTGGGTCTGTAAACTATACAGCCAGGCTTGGGGAATTATCCAACAGTCTTTTCAGCACCACTCTGCTCAAATGAAGAACTGTCAGGCAAATGCAGTGAGCACTGGCTCTCTTAAAATGTACACTTAGAGTGGGCTACAGACATGATTCAGTGGTTAAGAAGGCCTAAGAGTTTTTCTTAAAACTGTACACAAACTCCTTTGTTACAAATATTTATGCTCCAAAAAAAAAAAAAAAAAAGAAATAGTAAATTTTAGTCTTTTTTATCAAAAAAACATTTAAGTGGAAAATGCTGAAGGACCACTGACCTCGATGTCTATATCTGTATAAAATAATGATTATAAATGCTTGTTTAAAAAGGTGAAGTGCAAATGTGAATGTAACAAGAAGTTGTAGATTTCCAACACTGTACACAACTCCTTTGTTACAAATAGATATTTATGCTCAAAAAAAATTAAATTAAAAGTTGAAAATTTTAAAAAAGGCATAAGAGTTCAGTTCCCGACACGCCTTTAATCCCAGCACTCAGGAGGCAGAGCCAGGCAGAGCTCTGTGAGTTCGAGGTCAGCCTGGTCTACAGAACGAGATCCAGGACAGGCACCAAAACTACCCAGAGAAACCCTGTCTCAAAAAAACAAAAAACAGAGTTCAGTTCCAGCACCCAGGTCTGACAGCTCACAACTGCAACTCTAGCCCCAGAGGATCCGGCTTCTTCTGGACCCTGAAGTCACCTACACTCCTGTGTTCACACCCACACACAGACACATTTTAAAAAAAATAGTAAATCTGCCTTTAAAAAAAGAAAAGAGAAAGAACAAATGGTCTTAGAGCAGTCTATACATCCTAGAAGATAACAGCACTTGTCACATGAGACTGATAACTTGACATTGATTCCAGAACTTACATAAAGGTGAAGGAGAGAACCAACTCCACAGAAACACTGTGGCATACTTTTGCCCGAACTCACACATACATCATACACACACACACACACTCACTCACACAATAATATTTGAAGGGAAAATGTGTTAAATACATTGAAGGGTACTGAAGAGATGGTTCAACAAGTAAGGTGTTTGCTGCAGAAGCACGAGAACCTGAGTTCAACCCCAGGAACCCACGTAAAATTTGAACGGAGGCACACGCCTGTAATCCCAGTACCAGAGATGCAAGGTTAGGAGGCTTGCTGGGCCTCACAGGCCGGCCAGTCCAGCCAAATCCACACAGTCAAGGTTCATGAGAGACCCTGCCTCAAAAAATAAGGTAGAAAAGTCAATAAGTAAGGTAGAGAACATGGGGCTAAAGGAGGTGACTTGGCAGTTAAGAGCATTAGCTGCTCTTCCAGAGGATGCAGGCTTGATTCCCAGCCTCCACCTGGAGCCTCACAACAGTCTGTAATTCCAGTTCCGGGGGGCTGAGAAGCACACTTCTAGCACCTGCAGGCGCCAAGAACATACAGACATACACGCAGACAAAACACCCATACATATAAAGTAAATAACGAACAACTGAAGAGCATACCTAATTGACCTCTGGCCTGTTACTGAGATAGCTTGACCTCTGGCCTACACACACACCCACACACACACACACACACACAAAATATAATAGCTGGGCATAGTGACAAATGCTTTTAATCTCAGCACTCAGGTCGCAGAGCCAGATGGAGCTTGAAACCAGCCTGGTCTACATAGTGAGTTCCAGGCCAACTAAGGGCTACATAGTAAGACTGTGTCTCAAAAAAAAAACAATTAGTTAGTTAACTAATTAATTAAAAGATTTTCTAATTAAAATTGAGGCTAGGAATGTAGCTCAGTTGGTAGAATGCCGCCTCAGCATACACAAGGTCCTATTTCAATCTCGATCACCAATGACTTGGTAGCATATGCATGAAGTCTCACTTGTAAGATAGAAGCAGGAGGATCAGAAGTTCAAGGTCACCCTAGGCTATGTAAAGCTCAAGGCTTTTTGGTTTACATGAATTGTTGTCTCAAAAATAGATAAACAAGTAATGCTTAAGTGTACCCAAGCCTAGAAGAGTGGTGTAAACCTACAATCTCTACACTCAGGAAGCTGAGGAAGGAAGGTCGTGCCTGGACTAGACACATACACACATATGTATGGCTTTTCAAGACAGCGTTTCTGTGGATCAGCCCAGGCTGGCGTCTGCCTCCTGAGTGCTGGGATATGGATACATACATATTTTAAGTGTGTATTTGCAACTTAGAGTTAGTGACAGAACATGACAAAGAGTTCAACTTTCTCCACAGGCTGCCAGCACATTCTGATGCAATCCCGTCTCTATCAGCTTCAGAAAGGAGGGCAAAGGGGAGGCAGCCGAAACCAAACAAGCGCTGGCCAAACCCTTCGAGACCTTAGACCCCTCGAGGCCAGCCTGGTCTACACAGTGAGTTACAGGACAGCCAG